ACACTGGCGGCTTCAGTTCTCTCTGATGGAAAAGAGCGAAGGGGCGTCGTCAATCTTTTTTTACAGTCTATGGTATGTGTATGTATATACATGTGCCTTCCTTCATACTCTTAATCCGAATATCTTCCCCTCACTCGACATCTCTCTTCTCTGATGAGGTGTTCTGGGTGAGGGCGGGAAAACCTGTCAATCACACGAGATCCACCAATAGCAAACCACCCAATCAATTTCTTATGGACAAAACACGCCCTAAATTTGTTAATGTTCGATAAGCCGTTTCAATCGGATACGTCATTCACAATAGAGTGTCGAAGTTACGACGTCACTCTGTAGGCTAAAATGCGGAAGTGAGTTAGCATTTTAGCACTTCCGATTCCCTTGCTCGATGGGATTTTTGAATGGGTTTTTGCTAAATCTCCTGAAATAAGTTCTGTGGTGAACAAAACTTCTACATTTTTTCACGTTTTGATCTATGACATAGAACACAGTTATAACCTGCTTGCGTTATTTTAAACTTGTGTTTTTTAAAATCTTTATAGCCTATAGGCTTCAAAATGTATACATTTTGGATTAACTTGTAAAGACTATTTTGACAGACAAAACGTGTAAGGGTCACAACTCTTTGTTAAACACAGATCTTATTTTTTTGCGATTTTCCAAAAGTTTATGGGGAAAATGCATAGCTTTTTGATCGAGGGAACCCGTGCGCCGCTAGCTTCCGAGTTGTCCTACAAAGTGACGTCATCACTTCGGCAAAAGACTATTGCAACTTCAGTTTCATGCCAACTTTACATTTCAAAAAAAGTAAAGACATTTTTTAATGACATTCACAATTAAACCTGCTGATGAGGGCTATTTAAAAAAATAGTGCACAGTATGCATACTGCAAGAAAGTGTAGTGTGTAATATGGTAGTATGCAATTCAGAATATAGCCACAGCATCATTACTCATCCACTCCACAACAACAAAAAAAAAATTCTACAGGACACTTGTTAACATAATTAATTTTATTATTTCTGTAGCTAATTTACAACAAGCATCTCACTGAAATGAAACATCTTTATAATCCCATACTGTCATTGGTAAATCTCTCTTTTAAGATAAATCATTTAAATATACTTTTGCATTAGATGGCATTGTTGTATTTTCATAATTCTTCTTTTTTAAAATAAAAGCAATATGTTCAATCTGTTCAGGATAATTAGAATATGGCAAATACAAATCGATAAAATACATTTGATTCTTTCAAATAAATTAATAAATTCAACTCATATTTCATTCTAGTAAGAGTGAAGTCATATATTTCTCTTGGTAATATATGTGTGTGTGTGTGTGTGTGCAGCTCATTCAGACAGCAATATACGTTCATATTCTTTATTAGTAATGTAGCTAATAATATGATTTGGGAAATTTCTTTATGGGCTACGTTTAGAAAAGTATCCGTATGTGGTATGTGTAATGCGTGCAAATTTGTTTAAAAAATATTTGAAAATTTCACAGTAAAGTTGAATTTTTTACTTTCAGTTTTCACATTTGATTGTGTGCAGCCCCACTTTGGAAAGCACAGCAAAAGCGTCTCAGTCTTTACACAAAACCCCCATGTAAACAAAGCAGTAAACAATTAAATAAACAATCATATAAAATCTAGAAATAAAAATACCGGCAAGAAAGAAACTGTCACTGCACTCCAAACACACTTAAATATCGAAATTCAAACGCAAAAAGGTCAAAGGAAAATAAGTGAAAGTAAACGTGCCTCCAGATTGCTCTGTTGTTCATCACGTCTGATCAAATCTTGCCTTTAATAAGTGCAAATGTGTTTCACTTCATCTTCTTATTATCACCTACAAAACCTGTCCGTTTTCCCGTTTTCATAAATCACTCATGGCATTGATTTAAAGGAGTAGTTCACTTTAAAAAAAACTTTTGCTGATAATTTACTCGCCCCCACGTCATCCAAGAGGCCCGTATCTTTCTTTCTTCAGTCGAAAAGAAATTAAGGTTTTTGATGAAAACATTCCAGGATTTTCTCAATATAATGGACTTCAATGGGAACCAAACGGTTCAAGGTCCAAAAAACAGTTTCAGTGAAGCTTCAAAGGGCTTTAAATGACACCAGACGATGAATAAGGGTCTTATCAAGCGAAACGACTGCTCATTTAAAAAAATAAAAAATAAAGTTTACGTTTTATAAGCACAAATGGTCGCCTGTGATGTGCGTTCGTGACTCTCCTGTTCGAACTCGTTCATCAAAATGAACGAATCTTATGTTTCCGAGTCAACTCGTTCATTTCGTTCGTTGAATGAACAAAATGACTCGAAAAAAGATTTGTTCATTTTGATAAACGAGTTCGAACAGGAGAGTCACGAACGCGCATCACAGGCGACCATTTGTGCTTATAAAACATAAACAATTTTTTTTTTTTAAATGAGCGATCGTTTCGCTTAATAAGACCCTTATTAATCGTCTGAAATCGTTTAAAGGCCTTTGAACAGTTTGCAGTTTGCACTGAAACTCTCGTTTGGACCTTGAACCGTTTGGTCCCCATTGAAGTCCATTATATGGAGAAAAATCCTGGAATGTTTTCATCAAAAACCTTCATTTCTTTTCGACTGAAGAAAGAAAGACATGGACATCTTGGATGACATGGGGGTGAGAAAATTATCAGCAAAAGTTTTTTTTTAAAAATGAATTACTCCTTTAATGAAATCTCACTAAATCCACAGAACCGCTGGACAGTGATGTGTACGCTCCACTGTTTCGTCCTCACGTTAGACCTTGTATATGACGCCCTCTGAGCTCAAAGCACCGGATCGATTTTTACCGCATCGCTGTCACGGCACAAAAGGGTAAAAAAGCCAATTTATCATTCTGCCATTGTCGTGTCGGCCAGGGTGGAAGTGGGCGCTTTGTAACCCCCTATGAATTATGGGTAAAACGGTTTAGAAATGAGTGAGAGGAGTAATTAGGCTTTAGAGTGTTAAACTTGGCTAGCTAAGCTGATTATTCCCTGGCATTACAGCCATTTATTTATCTCATCAAACATAATGAACCCACGATCGTATACCAATAAAAGCCAGCGTCATTAAGACCCGCTCCTCTTCACATCATCGACTCGCCGATTAACCAGTGTGGTGATGTCCACTGACTGCCATCAAAGTAGCCTCATTGGTTTGATTACAAGAGTTATTTATAATCTGATACACAGCATTAAAACATTACAATACACCATTTTCCTGATGTGTGTGTGTGTGTGTACAAAGAGTTTATAGGTGGGCTGAAAGAATGGCCATTAAGGCTACGTTCACACGCCAGCTGACATAAAAATCGCATTGAATTAAACTCTAATCCAATCGCCTGAGCCGTAAATATCATGTGACTAATCACTCTGGACCAAGCGTGCTGCACAAGCCCTGAAAAGTGAAGCCAAAGCGCCTCGATCGCCCCCCGGTGGCTGGTCCTAGTATAGGTCATAAACCCAGCCTCTCCATCTTATTCAACGGCATGTGAGACCAACTAAACACTTCAAATATCGTTTTTCCAAAGATGGTTTCCGTCATTAACGGTAGTTTTTAATCAAGAGTTTGTTTTTAAATTAAATTTGTTTTTAGTGACGTCCTGAGCGAAGTAGTCATTGAAGCACCAATAGACTTTTTTTGAGGACTGAGGAGATTGGAGCTTTTAAATTTAATATATACATTTCTATAATTAATTTTTTAAAAAGCGTCGGAGCGTGTGCTTGCGATTGATTCTGCGAGAGTGAGGGGGCGGGGCCTTGATTTCACGGCTTTACTTCCTGCTCATGTCCGGTCCCGAGATCGCTACTGCGCAGACTCAAAATGCAAGATGTCAGCGCCATATCGGGACACTGGCGGCTTCAGTTCTGACCAATGGAAGAAGGCGAAGGGGTGTCGTCCATCTTTTTTTACAGTCTATGCTCTGGACTCGCAGAAAAACATCTTGACGATGCTAAATTTCCAACCCGATCTCATGAGAAAAAAATATTTTTTACGAGGTGGCGATTTCGTATAAATGTATATGATGGTTTCTATGAAAATGTTCGATTATTTATTTACTTTATTCTATTTTTTAAGGGGTGGTGAAGCTCCGCCCCTTAACCTAACTGTCAGTAGGCCATAAGCAAGATCGTATGTATGAATTCACCACAAATTCACCAAAAGATAAAATAGTTCTGAAATGCCGTGAGATTGTGTTGATTTTCCGATGACAGAGCTGTGATGTCAGTGTTCCCCAAAAAAGGGCACTGGAAAAACATGATAAAAAAAAAAAAGAGATTTAAAGGAATGGATCACTTAAAAATGAAAATCCTGTCATCATTTACTCACCCTCAAGTTGTTCCAAACCTGTATGAATTTCTTTCTTCTGCTGATGGTCTCCATTGACTTCCATAGTATTTTTTGTTTCCTACTAGGGAAGTCAATGGGGTCTATGGGAACACAAAATATCTTGTGTTCAGCAGAAGAAAGAAACTCATACAGCTTTGAAACAACTTGAGGGCGAGTAAATGATGTCAGAATTTTCCTTTTTAAGTGAACTATCCCTTTAAGTTCTATTTCATCAAAATAAGCTGCTACTTAAAGGGATACTCCACTTTTTTTTTTGGAAATAGGCTGATTTTACAACTCCCCCAGAGTTAAACTGTTGAGTTTTACCGTTTTTGAATCCATTCAGCCGATCTCCGGTTCTGGCGGTACCACTTTTAGCATAGCTTAGCATACATCATTGAAGTGGACAAGACCATTAAATGCTATTTTTCCTATTTAAAACTTGACTCTTCTGTAGTTACATCGTGCACTAAGACCGACGGAAAATGTAAAGTTGCGATTTAAAGTTGAAATTAAAGTTGTCGAGTTTTAAAAAGGAAAAATATTGAAACTCTGGTCATAGAAATGCTAATGGTCTTAGCTAATGGCTAATGTATGCTAAGCTATGCTATGGATTTAAAAATGGTAAAACTCAACAGTTTAACTCTGGGGGAGTTGTAAAATGGGCCTATTTCCAAAAAAAAAAAAAAAGTGGAGTATCCCTTTAAGAAAGGCTTTTAAAGGAGAAGGATGTCCAGAAAATGGTATAATTACCATGTTTACTGGCCAAACCTTGACCTCCGGTGTGTACAACCAGGCGAGTTTACAACCATTTAACATGATATTAGTTATAAAACGCCTGATTTACCTTCACTGTGAAGAAGACTGGCTGTATAAATAAAAATGCTAACAACATAAAAGATAAATGTTTGCGGCGTGAACGTAGCCTTCCAGCACAAGTGTGATCTGAACCCACCGGGCACGTTAAAATGACTAAAGTATTACGTTTGATAATTTAGCGATGACTTCAAGATCCAAGGCATGGCTAAAATTCGTTACGTTAGGAGAAGATTAAGGAAGAGCCCGATATTGCACATTAAAGAGCAGTCTGTGTGTTTGAGCCCAAATAATCCAACCGAGCAAATGAATCTCGCCTCAAAGGAAAACATCAATCAGGCTATTGCAAGGAGATCCAGATAGAAGGCGGCGAATGTTTACATGTAAGCGCGAGGAAATCAAAGAAAACAGAATATCAAGCATGTGGCTTGGCTTTCTGTGATGATGTGCAGAATCTCTTCAACCCTTTCTTCTCATCCGGTCGATGCGATGAACTACTGTAGCTGCAAACGGTTTAAGGGGAACATTCGAACTTCCTGGATTTCAGAAAGCACACATCAAGCACTTCAAATTTTGTAAAAGGGAAATTAAACGCCCTTGATGCTGATAACTGTGGGTGAACGCCAGTCTCTGAGTAGTCGGAATATCTTTGATATTGAAGATTTCAGCGCATTATTGATACTGATAAATATACTTTCATAATTCAGTTCGATCCACCTTTAGTGTTGTAAAACGAGCTCCTATAATCAGGAATCGCTCTTGAAAGTCTCATTCCAGTAAAAGCCAAGGCGGTCGCTCGTCTCTCTCCTCTTCCTGTCTGAGAGAGCGAGAGGGAATCCGGCGATATACAAAATTTCTTCGTAGCATCCCAGTTCGTGACAGAGTAAAAACAGCTCACCAGTCCTGTGCGAGAGGACGTTATTCAGAGAGAAAGCCAGAAAGAAGCAGAGAAGGACTGAGAGAAAGACAGAGAAAGGAAGTTAAAAGCAGAAAAGGGAAGCTCTCCATCATCATTTCCTGGTGTCTCTGTGATTCCTCCCTCTCTTCTACTCTTCCCATCTCTCTCTCTGTCTGTTTCTCGTGGGCTCTGCGAGTCGGGTCCTCGGTCCAGGCTGAATGGTGGTTTGGACTCTCACAGACGCTCCCTGGTGGGAATCCAGATATAAGGCCCTGACTGCTCCTCGATCACAGTTTTCACCTTGTGATAAACCTCCTCGAAGCTGTCGCCCTCCACGATCGCTGCCAAACAGAGAGCAAAACGATGTTCACATTGTGACTTTTATTATGTAATTGTCCAAGGGGCCGGTTGCACCAGCCTACACTCTAAAGGCCCGTACACACCGGGACGAGTATCAGCGCGCGTTATTCGTCAGCGTTTTTCAACGCGTTTTATGTGTTCACACCCAAACGATTTTCGCTGACGATGAGCCGAGTAAACATGCAAATTCATTCCCTGACATTAGATGGCGCCAATTTGCTCTGCAATACCACTCCATATCAGTTCTCTTACAGTATTTATATTGTTTTTTCCTCTTGTAACCACAGCCACAATGGCTGTGGTTTCAAGAGGAAAAAACAATATAAATACTGTTCGTTTTCTCACACAAACCGCTCATTTCCTGTCTTAGGCCATCGATGTGTACTTACATTTACGAGTCATTAAATCATGTTTAATTTGGACTTCTCTGTGCATGCTCTTTGAGGTGGTGACCATAGACCTCCATTACATGACTGACAGACAAGAACGGTTTGACCTAAAAATATCAAAATACTGCGGAAACAAAGACACCTACATCTTGGATGCCCTTGAGGTAAGATAAAACATGCCAAAAATTATTTTCAAAGTGAACTATCCCTTTAAGACATGCTGTTTTTGTTGGTAAATAACGGCGCAAATAAAACACCAGTACATTGACTCGCGCAAACCTTACTAAATCAGCTTTCATGATTCACTTATATTCTACTCCGATAAATGTTGCGTCTGAAAGGGAAACTCCTACAAATGCATTTGCAACAAGTTCAGCCACAAGAATAACCCTGTCCATGCGCTAATTTTTCACTGCATGTCTTTAGTAAACCCTGAAAGTATTTTTTAACGCCAAAATAAAGTAAATCTGTGTTCTTAGTGTGGCCTAGTAATTAGTTGTCTTACCAGAGAAGCACTCCAGGAAATCTTGTTCCAGTTTAATCGCGCGGTCCATCCCTTTCCTGGCTTGTTCCTCAGTTAAACGTGTGTTGATCTCTCTGGATAACAGAGCACAGACCCCATCAGTTGTCAGTTTCGGCAACATTTACAGCTAAACATACACAGGCTCAATTAGAAGTTGATGTTGAAGCATTTGTGTAGTTGTTTGGAGTTACGTACAGGACGTTCTCCAGTGATTTGGGCCGTACGAAGATGGCGATCGGGTGAAGCTGTGCAGCCTGTAGTCTACGAACTGCGTTTGCGGACACATCCAGAATACAGTGCTTTCCCTGCTGCTCACAAAAATAGACACGCATATTAAAGGGATAGTGCACCCCAAAATGAAAACTCTATCAGTATTTACTCTCCCTCATGTTGTTCAACCCCGTCCGTCAGACTTTCGTTCATCTTCAGAACACAAATTTAGATATTTTAGATTAAATCTGAGAGCTGGATCACTCCTCCATAGGCTTCTTGAGGGATTGAAACTTGCCGGCCCAGAAAAGTTATTAAAGACATCGTTAAAATAGTCCGAGTGACTACAGTGGCTCAATCTTAAAGGGTTAGTTCACCCAAAAATGAAAATTAAGTCATTAATTACTCACCCCCATGCTGTACCAACCCCGTAAGACCTTCGTTCGTCTTCGGAACACAAATGAAGATATTTTTGATTAAATTTGAGAGCTGTATAACTACCACATTGGCTCCTAAGGGACTGCCTCTTGACGGCCCAGAAAGTCGATGAAGAAAATATTTAAATATCCCAAGTGACTACCGTGGCTCAACTATATGTTTATCAAGCGACGAGAATACGTTTTGTGCGAAAAAACAAACAAAAATAACGAGTTTATTCGACTATTCCTTTTCTTCCTTGTAGGCCAGAACGAGACTTCCTTAGATTTCCACGACGCATGCGCGAGAACTGAACTGAAGTAGTGTAAGAATATCGCAGTTCTCGCGCATGCGTCGTGGAAATCTAAGGAAGTCTCGTTTTTGGCTTACAAGGAAGAAAAGGAATAGTCGAATAAACTCGTTATTTTTGTTTGTTTTTTCGCACAAAAAGTATTCGCGTCGCTTGATAAACATATAGTTGAGCCACGGTAGTCACTTGGGATATTTAAACATTTTCTTCATTGACTTTCTGGGCCGTCAAGAGGTCCCTTAGGAGCCAATGTGGTAGTTATACAGCTCTCAAATTTAATCAAAAATATCTTTATTTGTGTTTCGAAGACGAACGAAGGTCTTACGGGGTTGGTACAGCATGGGGGTGAGTAATTAATGACTTAATTTTCATTTTTTGGGTGAACTAACCCTTTAAGTTTATCAAGCGACGAGAACACTTTTTGTGCGCAAAAAAACGAACAAAAATGACGACGAGAGGAGTTGGGAGCGCATCTAAACAGTGAATCTAGCAAGTCTAGCGTAATATATAACAGTGAATTTAGCTGACGAAGTCAATGATGGGATAAAAACATTGGCTTTATGTAGCCTATACAACGCCTTTTTCACTGCAACTTCAGAAATGTTGTCAAGTAGCCTACCTGAGGTAATTGTGTTACACTATGCTAAACTGCATAGTTTGCAAAAATATCTCTTTGTTAATACTTCTCACCATTTATTCCCAGGATACGACCGATTGCTTTCCATATATCCATCTTTGTTAACGTATCCTCGAAAAGGGGGTTTGACTTGTCAAAGAGTGGAGGATTTTTTTGTACCTCGATGATTCTCTGCAATGTCATCATTTTAAATGCGAGAGACCTTTAAATTAGAATGGATTGTGATTGGTTGTCAGTGTTTTTTCAGTGGACGGCTGGAAAAAAATCGTTCTGAAAGTGACGCCAACGATATTGTTCCTCGTTTCTTTATCGTTATAGTTGTGTCTGTTATTCTTTAAAGAGTAACTAAACACTAAACCAACTTTTTTTAGTGAATGATCTGTAAGAATGGATCTTTATTAATACCAGTCATTGATTCGAGTAACGTTTTTGACATTTGTTTATAAAGTGTTGTATTTCTACAATATATGGTGTAAAAACGTCTTAGTGCTGCCCTCTTCAGGTTGAATGGTGGCTACTGCAGTTGAATTTTCCGCACTTCGTGACGTACGCAGGTTTCAGCTCACCACGCGAGCTACGCCCTTGGCAGTATAAAAACCATCTTGTGTCGTCAAAACCACGGTTGGGAGTCAGGAATTGGAATTGTGAGTATTGAAAACGACCAGGATAGAGTGTTTTAGCATCTATTTCGTCCCCTCTATCTCCGCTGGGGTCAGCCCACTTTTTCAGCATTTTCAAATATTGCCAGTGGGTGGAGTCAGGCTCTGACCAGGGGTTTAGTTACCATTTAATATGGAGAACGATTTTTAGAATTGTATTTTTATAGTTATCTTTATAGTTATTGTGCTTGGTGTGAACGGGCCTTAATAGCGCAGCACTTCTGTTTGTCAATTGGAATATTTTAACAATGTCTTTAATAACTTTTCTGGCCAGGCAAGTTTCCTTCCCTTATATGCCTATAATTGGAGTGATCCAGCTCTGAAGATGAACGAAAGTCTTACGGGGTTGAACAACATGAGGGAGAGTAAATACTGACAGAGTTTTCATTTAAGGGTGAACTATCCCTTTAAGATTTGCAAAAGTGATGCACAAGTTCATTGTTTTACCCACAAACGTACCTGTTCTGCCACCTCTCGCACGCTCTGAACGCTGGTCCCGTACAGGTGACTGTTGTACTGGCCCGCCTCAATGAAACGATGGTTCTGAATGTCTTTCTCCATCTGTTCCCGCGACGACACAAAATGGTAGTCCCGTCCATCCACCTCATATTCCCGCTTGGGTCGTGTCGTATCTGAGAAAGAGCGATGACATCATCCCATGACTATGATATCAGTTGCACTTATTGGCAACTGTGTTGAAAAGGGCTGTTTATTGCTTGAAGACATTTTAGGCAAGCTTCAAATTTTTAGTTTTTTTTATGAAATCAGAACTGTGACGGCAAAATATAAAATACTTCTGCTATTGAAAACAGATGTGCCGTTTAATATGTTTGTAGAGACTGATACACTACAATTTAAAAGGTTAGGGTATGATTTAAAACACTTTTATTCAGCGAGGACGCATTAAATTGATCAAAAGGTGACGGTAAATACATTTATAATGTTACAGAAGATTTCTATTTTAAATAAATGCTGCTCTTTTGAAGTTTATATTCATCAAAGAATCCTGAAAACAAATTGCATCATGGTTTCCCACAAAAATATGAAGGTTTTTGATAATTAATAAGACGGAAATTGCATCAGACCAATGTTGAGAAAGCACTTTTGAGAGCAATATGCATCTGAGAGTGACGACGGAGATGAGGAATACTCACGAGGGACACAAGAGCCAAACTTGTCTGGGAACTCAGACAGCAGGTCATCATTCACTCGGTCTTTCACCGGGCCCAGAATAATGATCGGCCTCGCGTAGTGCACTAAATTGGATGAGAGATGAGACAGAGACTGTACGAATACATACACTGGTAGACAAAGCAAAAATGGATGTGAGGAGAAAGAACAATATGACATAAGCTAGAAACTCAATGGCTCAGTTCCCAACCCTAGTGCGATATAGAAAATGCTTAAAGTGATAGTTCACCCAAAAATGAAAATTATTAAGTACTCACCCTCATGTTGTTCCAAACCCATAAGACTTTCATTCATGATTGGAACACAAATGAAGATGTTTTTGATGAAATCTGAGAGATTTCTGTCCCTCCATTGACAGATACGCAACTACCACCTTGATGCTTTAAAAAGTTCATAAAGAGATCGTAAAACTTTAGTCCGAAACTTTCTGAAGAGACTCGATCGCTTTATATGACAAACAGATTTCAATTTCAAGCTTAACCGAACCTGCTTGATGCACGAGAACGAACCTCATTGAGCTTCTGTTTACCACTAATGTGTGAGTTGATGAATGTTTATATGCGAATAAATCCTAAATAATATAAAGCGATCGAATCTCTTTCGAAGGTTTGGACTAAACCGCTCAATTCATTTGGATTATAACTTTTTTAAGCATCAAAGTGGTAGTTGCGTAGCTGTCAATGGAGGGACAGAAAGCTCTCAGATCTTCATTTGTTTTTCTAAACTCAAAAGTTTTCGGATTTGGAACGATTTGAGCTTATAAAACTTAAACTTTGTTTTTTTTGGTTTTTTTTTTTAAATGATCGATCGTTTCGCTTGACAGGACCCTTATTCATCGTCTGGAATCGTTTAAAGCCCTTTGAAGCTGCACTGAAACTCTCATTTGGACCTTGAACCGTTTGGACCCCATTGAAGTCCATTATATGGAGAAAAATGCTGAAATGTTTTCATCAAAAACCGACTGAAGAAAGAAAGGCATGGACATCTTGGATGACATGGCGGTGAGTAAATTATCAGCAAAAGTTTTATTTAAAAGTGAACTACTCCTTTAACAACGAACCGATTGTTCAGCTGATGAAACGTCTTTCTGAAAACAACTTTTAGTAAACAGAAACTCTTTTTCTGGACTTTTATACAGTGTATGCCATTGAAAAGACTATCTCTATCCCTCACAGCTTCGTTTTCATTGGCGATAAATTGAATATGGCGTCTAACCTGACTGAGGTGTATTACGACACGTCACATGTCCTCATCTCATATGTGAAACAACTGCCTGCTAGTGTAAAAAAGCCTTGTTGATAAGTTTAGGTGAGTAAGGGCAAAACGCACATAGTACCTTCAATGTCCTGTAGATGGTGATATCGCTTCTTTTGTAGCAGAAATTGCTGCAGAAAAAGTTTGGTGCCGTGCAAAATGTAATGAGTGATTGCTTTACGCATTAAAAATGTACTGGAGTACATAATCAAAAATGTAGTTCAGTAGAGACTAAAAGATGCTGACAATCCAAGTACAGAGTAGCCGAAAAGATACTTAAAGGAGTAGTTCACTTTTAAAAAAAACTTTTGCTGATAATTTACTCACCCCCATGTCATCTAATATGTCCATGTCTTTCTTTCTTCAGTTGAAAAGAAATTAAGGTTTTTGATGAAAACATTCCAGGATTTTCTCCATATAATGAACTTCAATGGGAACCAAACGGTTCAAGGTCCAAAAGACAGTTTCAGTGCAAACTGCAAACTGTTCAAAGGGCTTTAAACGATTCCAGACGATGAATAAGGGTCTTATCAAGCGAAACGATCGCTCATTTAATAAATAAATAACAAAGTTTAAGTTTTATAAGCACAAATGCTCGCCTTGCTCTGTTCTGTGATGCGCGTTCGTGACTCTCCTGTTTGAACTCGTTCATCAAAATGAACGAATCTTTTTCCGAGTCAGTTCGTTCGTTGAATCAACCAATGACACAAAAAAAGATTTGTTCATTTTGATGAACGAGTTCGAACAGGAGAGTCACAAACGCACATCACAGAACAGAGTTTTGGTTTTGGTTCCCATTTGGTTCCCCTTTGGTTCCCATTTGGTTCCCATTGAAAACCTTAAATTCTTTTCGACTGAAGAAAGAAAGACATGGACATCTTGGATGACGTGGGGGTGAGTAAATTATCGGCAAACGTTTTTTTTTTTAAAGTGAACTACTCCTTTAAGTACAGTAACTAGGTAGATCTACTCAAACACTTGACACCACTACTGAAAATGGTATCTATAACAATAAATACATCTAGAAATATCTGATTTCACATCAGTAGTGCTCTATTCAAATGAACTTTCAGCATTAGTGCACTTTACATGAGGAGTGCTATTTGTGTGGTTGCTTTTGTCTATATATGCAGTGTTTGAATTGAGTCACATAGAGAATAAAGTTTTTATTTTTTTAGATTTTATGCTGCCTGCGTAGACCGTAGAAAGCGAGGTATCTCACTGGGGTTTGTATCAGAGCCAACGTATAAATGTCTCAGTTGAGTTATCCAACCTTCCACTTGTGCGACTGTCTCGTAACTCCGTACTGCCTCTTCCCTTCCTGAGAGAAAACAAATACACTTACATCAGTTTCTGTTTACAATGCATTCAGCAACAAAACATAAATATGTAATACTGTGAGGAAAAAGAAGGCTGTAACTCACCCTGTGAGCCTATACTGTCTCGACTTCGGTCCTGTCAAAGGGAAAATACAAGGTACAATGCTTATCAAACTGTAATAGACTGTTTCCTACATCAGCTGCAAACATCCAGTTATTGCATCATTTGTCCTGTCTTGAAGAGGTAATAACAGTGTACAAGTGTATGTGATGTCCTGTCGGAAATATTGCATTAATGAGATGAGCAGAAGTACACTTTAGCATACTTTTAAAAATGGAGACAATATACTTTAAAAAATATATAGTTAAGTGTGAATTCAATGTAAATGTTTTCAGACACTTAATTGCCTTAGATGAAAATGTATTATAGTTTAAAACTGCAATTAGCTGAACATTAGAGTGATTTTTTGAAAGTAGGACTTAATTCCATCTTTATGTCGTTTCATAATTTCTATTATTGTCTTATGAAAATACACTTAAAGTGTCACATCGAATGCCCAGCATTTATAAATGACAAGCATTTATGGTGAACCAAAATATACTTTAATATAGGGCAGTGAAACGATTAATCGCGATTAATCGCATCCAAAATAAAAGTTTGTGTTTGCATAATATATGTGGGTGCACTGTGTAAAATTATTATATATATATAAATACACACACATGCTTGTATATATTTAGGAAATATTTGCATGTATATACTTTATATACATTTATACAAAATTAATATTATACATAAATATAAATAATAGGATTTTTCTTAATTTTTCTTAAATATATACATGCATGTGTGTGTATTTATATATATATACAAAATAATTATACACAGTGCACCCACATATATTATGTAAACACAAATTTTATTTTGGATGCGATTAATCGTTTCACAGCCCTACTTTAATGTCATTTTTTTCTATTTAAACTTGTATGCCATGTAATTAATTTATTTGTTATTATAAATTTGTGATGATAAATGTGCAATTTAAACTTTAAATGTAATATCACATAACACACCACAATAAAAATTATAATCAAGTACTTTACATGTGCTTTAGTATGTCAGTCAACACATCAAATTTAAAAAAAAAAATTAAACAGTGTTTTAAAATGTGCTTTGTGATAATGTCAAATTAAAAGTTTTATTTAAAAAAAGTTAGCAAACATAGGCATGAAAGTTGACTCTCTTTAAGTACATTTAAGTGGTTTTTTATTAAAATAGACAGTGTTTTAAAAATATGACTTTAAGACTTGAAGTTTTGTACTACAAGTGCACAATAAATGCAACTAAGCACACTTCTTTTTTTAAAGGAGTAGTTCACTTTTCAAAAAACCTTTTCTGATAATTTACTCACCCCCATGTCATCCAAGATGTCCACGTCTTTCTTTCTTCAGTCGAAAAGAAATTAAGGTTTTTGATGAAAACATTCCAGCATTTTTCTCCATATAATGGACTTCAATGGGAACCAAACAGTTCAAGGTCCAAAAGACACTTTCAGTACAAACTGTTCAAAGGGCTTTAAACGATTCCAGACGATGAATAAGGGTCTTATCAAGTGAAACGATCGCTCGTTTAAAAAAAATAAAAATAACAAAGTTTAAGTTTTATAAGCTCAAATGCTCGCCTTGCTCTGTTCTGTGTGACTCACGTTCGTGACTCTCCTGTTTGAACTCGTTCATCAAAAAGAACAAATCTTTTTACGAGTCATTTGGTTGATTCAACGAAACGAACGAATTGACTCCAAAAAAGATTCATTTTTTGATGAACGAGTTTGAACAGGAGAGTCACGAACGTGCGTCACAGAACAGAGCAAGGCGAGCATTTGAGCTTATAAAACTTAAACTTTGTTATTTTTTTTTTTTAAATAAGCGATCGTTTCACTTGATAAGACTCTTATTCATCGTCTGGAATCGTTTAAAGCCCTTTGAACAGTTTGCAGTTTGTACTGAAAGTGTCTTTTGGACCTTGAACCATTTGGTTCCCATTGAAGTCCATTATATGGAGAAAATGCTGGAATGTTTTCATCAAATCCCTTAATTTCTTTTCGACTGAAGAAAGTGAGTAAATTAGCAAAAGTTTTTTGAGAAGGTAACCCTGTGACAAAGTGTAGAGAAAAATGTCCAAAGGCATTGTGTGTGTCTGGGAAACCTAGATTGACAAACCAGGAACAGTAACATGAGCGTGTGGATGTTTTTACCCTGTCTCAAGGTGTGTTTTTGTCTGCAAATGTCATTTTAGGAGCTCTATATATTAATACCACCACAATGCCATAATTGCAAATGGGAATTGTTTGTTTTTAATGCTAAAATACACATGCTAAACATCAGTCATGCTTAATGCACACCATTTGCTGTGTTTGCATTAGCTCTAAAGAGCTACCTGTCTTCCGGAGAGTGAAAGAGAGGAAAAAGATACGCTTAAAATGTTAACTTCCCGAGGAAACCTCCAGAACGGTGTGCATGTGTGTACAGCCAGCACAAGCCCAGGAGTTTCAATGCTTTCATTAAACAACTCCTTGATAGACTCACATGAGCTGCACACACACACACACACACACACCACTGCTAGCCTAAACCCGTCAGAACACATTATAGAGCAGGACAACAAATCTCATAGGAGAAGAGCCCAATGTTTTTGGAGTAATTTAAAGAAAAATGGGTGAATGGGATGAACTGAGCTTACCCTTTCTTGTGACTTCAAGCGCGACCACTCTTTTCTCTCAACCCTGGAAGAGAGAGTGCTTGAATGAATGACAAGATCAATAAAAACAGGAAAAGAAATGCTGAGGGGGAATTGTGCACATCTGATGCTGTTGTTTGTTGCTTGAATGATATTACTTACTTTTTTGGTCACAATATCCTTAATTTTGAGGACATTGTAACTGCATTCTTTACTCTCAAAGTGTGTTTGTGTTTGCTTTCTGCAAAGTGGGTGCAAAATCCCCCTGAGACGAGACATTTATGTATTTTTTGCATCCAAGCAAGCAAAAATCGTCATTTTGCGTCATCGGAGGATTTTTTTTGTCCAGAGGCTAAAGACTACAGTCAGTAGTCGGGTCTGTCCCGCATGTCCTCAACCCGCCCATAGAGGGCGATCTCACTCACAGAATGAACACATAGTGTCGGCCATCTTTGTTTGGAAGCTTAGCTAGCAGGCTCTTGTTCTGTGGAGAAAGCTGAGTTGTCGGGGTTACCATCCTCTTTTTCACAGACATGTCCGGCCGTCGATGTCCGGGATTCAGCTTTTGCTTTCTGCAGTCGCCATTCATTGTTTACATGCACAGCTTTTGTTTCAATGGAACTGAATTCGTTCCGATTGGTGAATCTGAATGTAGTGTTTACATGAACGCTAAACAAGTGATCGGTTGATGTGCGTTTTAACATTGTGAAGAAAATTCGTGAGAGATACGAGACCGGTGCGTCTCACAGGTGTCGCTCATCGGTAATCACGCCACCGGCCTCGCGTCGTTCTCCCGCGGCCCTCACTCGTCCCGCTCGCCACAGTAAACATGATGAACAGCGACTGTAGAACGCAAAAGCCCAATCCCGGACATTTTGGGTGATCTGGAAACACATTTTCGGGCAGACTCATCACGGAGACTCACTAGTAGCCTAGACTTGTTGTTTAACGACTGCGCTCTGTTACCGGTAGGCGTGGCCTCCTAGGGCAGCGAAGCAAGTGCATTCTGGGAGTTGTTGTCTTTCATCCACATAAGCCAAAAATACATTTTCTGGCTTTTCTCAGTCTATAAAACTCCAAATTCAAAAATAATTTCACATTTCTTCTACATAAATGACCCATTTTTTTATACGCATTCGTCTTTCCAGAGGTGAAGTATCCCTTTAATGTGAAACTGGTGTGATAAAAGCAGGTAAACTTGGTTGCTTCAGCTTCATTCGCATAAGAATAACTAAAAGTGTTCTTTACATAGAATGTTATAGATTTCTATTTCATTCAAATTTTCTATTCATCAAAGAATCCTGATAAAAACGTATTATGGTTATCCACAAAACATTTGTAATATTAAGAAATGTTTCTTGAGCATCAAATCATTTCTGAAAGATCATGTGACACTGAAGACTGGAGTAATCAGTTTTGATCACAGAAACAAACAGACTTTATTTTCCCTATTTTCCCTAATTTTCCCTTTTATAATCTAGTGTGAAAATGATTGGTTTTAACATTTCACATGTTGTTGATAGAGCTTCATTTAAGCATTTATCACAGATATATCTTGGGTTTGGGCGGTGCGTGGATAAATGCGTCAAGAGAATGTTCTTGTAACAGTGTGTGAAAAGCTAAAAAGCTTCTTTAAGCCATTTGAATATTATTTTGTTCAAGGACAACAGAGGAGATAACACAAAAGCACACACACACACCTCCTCTTGCTGGGGATGAAGCCGACCTCCTCCTCATCCCCCTGAGGACTGACTCTGCAGGCCTGCCACCACTCTTCATCTCCACAGTCCAAAACATGCAGCACATCTCCAAACCGAAAGCCCACAGCCTGACTCAGGAAACCACAGTCTGCGGTCTTATCATAGTCAAACAGAGCCCTGCCAAACGAGAGAGAGAGAGAGAGCGAGAGACATAAGTCACGGGGAAAAGAGAGGACAGTTACAGACAGAAGGACTGAAAAGGAGGAACATCAAAGGAAAATCATGGAATTGGGTTGAAATTTAGCAACACAGACCTTATATGTGGCCCTTTTCCTTGTTATTCATTGGTTATGTCCAATATATGTTCTTTCTGCATACTGAGCAGTGTATACTATTTTTTAAACAGCACGCAGTATGCAGCAAAACACATTTGAAACTATAGAATGCTACACTTCTCATTGCAACTTAAAAATGAATATTAAATGAGTAGTTCACTTAAAAAAAAACTTTTGCTGATAATTTACTCACCCCCATGTCATCCAAGATGTCCACGTCTTTCTTTCTTCAATTGAAAAAAAATTAAGGTTTTTGATGAAAACATTCCAGGATTTTTCTCCATATTATGGACTTCAATGGGGACCAAACGGTTCAAGGTCCAAATGAGAGTTTCAGTGCAAACTGAAAACTGTTCAAAGGGCTTTAAACGATTCCAGACGACGAATAAGGGTCTTATCAAGCGAAACGAAAAAACAAACAAACTAAGTTTAAGTTTTATAAGCTCAAATGCTCGCCTTGCTCTGTTCTGTGATGCACATTTGTGAATCTCCTGTTCGAACTCATTCATCAAAATGAACTAATCTTTTCCCGAGTCAACTCGTTCATTTAGTTTGTTGAATGAACAAAATGACACGAAAAAAGATTCGTCTTTTGGACCTTGAACCGTTTGGTCCCCATTGAAGTCCATTATATGGAGAAAATGCTGGAATGTTTTCATCAAAAACCTTAATCTCTTTTCGACTGAAGAAAGAAAGACACGGACATCTTGGATGACATGGGGGTGAGTAAATTATCAGCAAAAAATTTTTGACATAAGTTTCAGTAAAAATTACATATAAAGCAATTTATGTTAACCATAAATGATTGTCAGTACATTTATCAGTGCACTTTAATCATATTTCAAAGACAATAGACGTAATTATAAGATGACAAAATATACAGATGTACTTAAAGCTACACTGTGTAACTCTTTTAGTTTATTCTTAGCTAAAAACACTTAGTTCTTTCAAAAATATATGTGCTCATTAATGTATATAAAATAATAATAAATAATAAAATATACTTTAAAAAAACACTCTAAAGTTCAGATAACTGCATTTAATATAAATAAATTTATGTAAATAAATAATAAATACATTTTACTTTTTTACTCAAGTATATTTTATTAAAATATATTATTTGTGTAATAAATACAAGTATGAAAAAAAAGCATTTTTCAAGTGGAAAGAGGACAGGAAATGATGCAGAGAAGAGGAAGGGAATGGATTTGTACATGTGACTCCTTCATTAGTGTGTTCGTAATTTAGAATTGCGGTGTGTGTGTGTGTGTGTGTGTGTTGTACGTTTACCTGATATAAAACCCTCGTTTTGGGTTACTTCGTAATGTGGTTGTTCCAGAGCCCATACTGCTGTTCATTAACTGCTCTCTGAGGTCATGAATTTTAGCTTCAAATCGACTGTACTCTGCACAAACAAACACAATTTTCCATTTTATCCTAAAACTACACATTTACAAGGTCAGGTTGCAAAGTGTGCACAATTATTAAGCACTTGTTGTCAATTTTGGTGAACATCTTATTTCCTTATCAGCTCTTTGAATCAATAACGGTTTATTGAAACATGCAGACTGACAGTGCCACCTACTGGCCGGAACAGGTAATGAGGGCTTTAAAACTGAGGTAAGCTAAAAGAATAAATGTATTTGTGCTTTTAAAAAGCAAACAAATTGGAAATGAGCGTAGGGTGACTTTAGACTTGACAAATTTGATGTTAACAAACCTTTTCTGTTTTCATCTCCACTAGGCTAGGGCAAACCAAGAGCAAGAATTTATATTAAAATCTATTTGATGTTCATAACATGAGTGTATCTTCAAAAAACGATCAGTGGTTTCGACAATAATAAAGGACTTAAGCCACTAAAGTAACTACTCACCAATAGCAGTTTATGATATGATCGCTATTGGCTAATGCGAGTCGTACCCGAGCGTGTCTGATTTGACTCGTCCCCTCATCAAGACCATTGTTTATACAGATATAGGCACATTAAAACATTCATTATAGGCGGTGCTATGAACATTTCTGACGGGGTCGAGCCTCAAGCCCCAGAAAGCCTCGCGCTGACACTGACACTAGTGTATTCAGTGGCGCCAAAAACTATCTGAGACTTCAGCCACAAATAAAATGTATAACCAAACTCAAAAAATTAGAATATGGTGCAAAAGTTCATTTAAGTTAAAAGGTGAAACTAATATATTATATAGACTCATCACATGCAAAGTGAGATATTTCAAGCCTTTATTTGTTATAATTTTGATGATTATGGATTACAGCTTATGAAAAACCCAAAGTCAAAATAAGAATATTGTGAAAAGGTAGTCATAAGCTGTAAGCCATAATCATACAAATTATAACAAATAAGCTTTGAAATATCTCACTTTGCATGTAATGAGTCTATATAATATATTAGTTTCACCTTTTAAGTAGAATTACTGAAATTATGCATGTTATTCTATTTTTTTTTTAGTTTCACCTGTATAGTGTATGCATTGTATAGCAAAAAATCTAAACAAGAGCTAATTATTTTTAAATAAATATAGCACAAACACACATATTTTCTAGTTCCTATAAGATTAACTGTAAACTTTCCATTAACATTGTATTTATTTTCTTTTTTAACCTGTATTTAGTAAGTGCTAAATTTGGACCCAGTGTGTAGGATTATCAGGTGTGTGTGTGGTTCAGGTAAACCCTAAGTTATGGGGATCAAAACATATTTGGTCCCCATGAGGAGAACAGCTTATAAATCATAATAAATTATGTTTTTTGAAAATGCAGAAGGTGTTCTGTGATTGGTCGATTTGGTGTAAGGGAATAGAATATACAGATTGTACAGTATAAAATCATTATGTCTAAGGAAAGTCCCCCAAAACATGGAAACCCAATGTGTGTGTGTGTGTTCTGACCTTCTGGCCTGTACTGAGCGATGATGGTTACAGTCTGTCCAGCATTCTTCAAGGCAGCTGCTGCTTGTTCATGTGTAGCTACCCGGAGATCCACTCCGTTCACCTGAGGAACACATCATATCATTATATTACACATCTCACAGCCGTAACACATGACTGCTAAACTATCACAACAGCAGAAGTGATACACTGATATAAATACTACTGCATTAAGAAAGCAAATGAAATATGAACAATAACTTTTCTTTATGCTGTGAATATTAGGCTCTTACCTCATTTAATTTCAATATATTTGTATTTGCATTTTCAGATCCCTGTATGCTGGCATGAACTAATCCAAACAGCTTTAATAATAATAATATGACAATTAGCATATTTAGCAATATACTAAAAATGTACAATATGGGAGTCTAAAAACCACAAGGCTGCATTTCTTTGATAGAAAATACTGTAAAAATGGTAATAATGGAAACATTATTAAATGTTGAGAATTTCCACTTTGAATATATTTTAACATTTCTGTCTTTTAAATGGCATATTAATATGATTATAAGAATATGCAGCGTATAATAAATGTACAATATTGATGTATAAGGATTTTTTTCCCTTTTTTTTGCAAAGAGCATTTGTTACACTTTATGATACATGGGCAAAGATAAACGCACTCTCCATTAAAAGATAAAGAATGTGCGTATACCTGTAGTAAATAATTAAACATTGATCTGCCATTATGGCTAGCATTAGCAGCAGTTGTCAGGCACATCATGGCTAGCATTAGCTGCAGTTGTAAGGCACATCATGGCTAGCATTAGCTGCAGTTGTCAAGCACATCATGGCTAGCATTAGCTGCAGTTGTCAGGTACATCATGGCTAGCATTAGCAGCAGTTGTCAAGCACATCATGACTAACATTAGCTGCAGTTGTCAGGCACATCATGGTTAGCATTAGCAGCAGTTATCAAGCACATCATGGCTAGCATTAGCTGCAGTTGTCAGGCACATCATGGCTAGCATTAGCTGCAGTTGTCAGGTACATCATGGCTAGCATTAGCAGCAGTTGTCAAGCACATCATGGCTAGCATTAGCTGCAGTTGTCAAGCACATCATGGGTAGCATTAGCTGCAGTTGTCAGGCACATCATGGCTAGCATTAGCTGCAGTTATCAAGCACATCATGGCTAGCATTAGCTGCAGTTATCAAGCACACCATGGCTAGCATTAGCTGCAGTTGTCAGGTACATCATGGCTAGCATTAGCAGCAGTTGTCAAGCACATCATGGCTAGCATTAGCTGCAGTTGTCAAGCACATCATGGCTAGCATTAGCTGCAGTTGTCATGCACATCATGGCTAGTATTAGCTGCAGTTGTCAAGCACATCATGGCTAGCATTAGCTGCAGTTGTCAAGCACATCATGGGTAGTATTAGCTGCAATTATCAAACACATCATGACTAACATTAGCTGCAGTTGTCAAGCACATCATGGCTAGTATTAGCTGCAATTATCAAACACATCATGGCTAGCATTAGCTGCAGTTGTCAGGCACATCATGGCTAGCATTAGCTGCAGTTGTCAGGCACATCATGGCTAGCATTAGCTGCAGTTGTCAGGTACATCATGGCTAGCATTAGCTGCAGTTGTCAAGCACATCATGGCTAGCATTAGCTGCAGTTGTCAGGTACATCATGGCTAGCATTAGCAGCAGTTGTCAAGCACATCATGGCTAGCATTAGCTGCAGTTGTCAAGCACATCATGGCTAGCATTAGCTGCAGTTGTCATGCACATCATGGCTAGTATTAGCTGCAGTTGTCAAGCACATCATGGCTAGCATTAGCTGCAGTTGTCAAGCACATCATGGCTAGTATTAGCTGCAATTATCAAACACATCATGGCTAGCATTAGCTGCAGTTGTCAGGCACATAATGGCTAGCATTAGCTGCAGTTGTCAGGCACATCATGGCTAGCATTAGCTGCAGTTGTCAGGCACATCATGGCTAGCATTAGCTGCAGTTGTCAAGCACATCATGGTATTTTCTGTACTGTAATTCTACATTTAAACATGTGATTTGACTGCAGCTGCTATTGGAATCCCAAAAATGCAAAAGCATGGTGTGAAAGTCCTTTTACATAGAGATTATGTTGTTGATACATGAGTACGTGTGTGTGTGTGTGTGTGTGTGTGTGTGTTTGCATGTACTCACACTCAAAATTTGATCTCCCTTGCGCAGTTCTCCGCTCAGGTCTGCAGGGCCTCCTGCCAGGATGAAAGAGATGAATATTCCCTCACCATCCTCTCCTCCAACGATATTAAACCCCAAACCCGTCGATCCTCTGTGGATCACAACACGCCTCGGGTCCCTAAAACACACAGCAGAAGGTAAAGATATATATTACAAAGGAATTCCAGGATAATGGTAATAATCTTTGTCAGTAAAACACACATTACTTCACAGATGTATCATGTGCTGTCAGCCAGATATGGTAAGTGAATCAATTTATTGATGTATTTATCCAAACAAGCTAAAGTATTTATACAAATAATTATTTTTACAAAAAATAAGGAATAAAAGAAATAATTGATTCTGAACCGCCTGAAAGGAGTCGTCAATAATTCCTACATAGGTTTGTAACACATTTGTGTACATTTCACCTCCAAAATGAAATTAGGAACCTTTAAAATAGCCTAATAGGGGCACTTTAATGTCTTATATGTTACACTGAGCCATTTTAGGGCTGGGTTATATGACAATATATGTTGATATAAATGATTAACCAGATGAGATATACAGTAGCTCGATTTAATTGATTATTTTCAGAAAAATTATGCAGATTCATCTGTGCCACTTTGACTCTGGGCAAGACGGGCTGAAAATATTCACTACAGAGAGCAACGCAGAAAATGAATTTTATGTTTTTTTGAGAAATATAAAAACCTATATGTATGGAAGCTTGTTTCTGCCACTGAATAAAAAAAAATTATAATAATAATTGAGACTTTTTTTCTCACAATTATGACTTTTTTCTCACAATTGCGAGTTTATATCTCGAAATTCTGACATCTTTTCTCAGAATTGTGTGATACAAACTCGCAATTGTGAGTTATCAGGCCAATTCTAAGAAAAAAATACTTAACGTTTTTTTCCTCCAGAATAGTTTATATCTCGCAATTCTGACTTTACAACACGCACTTTATATCAAAAAATCCTGACTTTATATCTCGCAATTCTGAGAAATAACGTCAGAATTGTGAGATAAAAAGTCGCAATTACCTTTTTCATTTTTCATTCTGTGGCGGAAACAAGCTTCCATATGTATATGTTTTTGTATATGGCCAAAATTTCAGATTGGATTACTATATAATAAATTGTGCTGTATCATTAAAAAAAATGACTCCTTTCGGGGTCATATCACCCAGCTATAATTATCTTTATCTGGGAGCTGCAAGTAAGTTATTCCATGATTCTTTAGTCCTTTAGTCTGGCGCTGAGCAAGCCTGAGGCGAGAGTGGCAGGGAATGAAATTAGATACGATACTTGTTCAGCTTTAATTATGAAGAGAAGCGGTGAAATTCTGCAGAATGGATTTAATGAAGGTATAATGCGTCAGACAGAGCTGATACTACACTTTTATTTTTTAGTTTAAAGCGTTATCAAATTTATTTAAAAAAAAATGGTTCATTATACATTTTGTGAGTGACAGGTGCTCCATCTGTGGGTGCAGATGAGCACATTATTTAGGAATGTTCCAGAAACCCATAAATCATCTATTTAGGCTTTTGTTGTCTATTTTCTATGAAAAAGTCAGCCCTAGCTGAATATATAGCTAGGGCTTTTTAGTAAAGTTTTCATTCAGAATGTATTGGCATCCATTTCGGTGTCCACTCGAAATGTAACGTAAACCAACTATTTGGCCGACTCGCAAGCCCAAACAAGGATTCTTGTCGACAAAGCAACAAAACGTCCTCCTCCTGCGGTGCAAGCCATTGAAATGAATGGGTTTCATAGCGCATATTACCATATGTTACTTGTATTTATATTGTAAGTTAATATTGTGTCCAGTTTGGCCCTGTAAATAAAGGGGTATTATTATTTTGACAAAGTGTGTGCGGTTTCCTTTTCTTAAGTACCGTTTCAAGAACCGTTTAAAAAATACCGAGTAGGTACTGGTATCGGATAAAACCCAACCCACTCAATAGTCACCAGTTTAACAATGTAGCATCCAGCCTAACCTTTTTAAACGTTTGCATATTTATTTGGTCTTAAGTTGGAGACACCAAACATTCAAAACACTAAATCTATAGTGCAAAGTTTGGCAATTCAATTCAATTTCTGCAACTGATTGCATCATAGCTGTAAAATGAGTTGATTTTTTAATCTCTACCCATCCATTCCAAGGTGATGAATAACACTCATTAAAAGAAACAACAATAAAATACTGTAATGTGCAAGAACTGCGGAGTCATTAGCTTGCAGTTTTCCAGACAGCATTACCTGGGTAAGTCGTCATCTCCCATTAAGCCATGCAGCACAGGAGAAAAGCGGCTCGGTGAGGTGGGAGTGAGGGCTTGTGGGTAATCCGAGGCTAGGAAGTTTGGATGTCCAAGGTCCGCGTCCATATGCGGAGAGTACGCTGAAGGGTGAACATGCACACAAATCACCATGTCGCCACCAAGTGTGAGTTAAAGCTGGATTTACTAATGTTTGCCACTCAATTTTGAAAAGATATTTAAGAGTTTTGCTTGAAAAGAAATGAGATATATCCTCGAGCACAACTGTTTATTTTTAGTTTCTGTGTGGCGTGCTGTGTACTCACTGCTAGTGAGGTCTGGTGGGTTGTAGTTGTTGGTAAGGTACAGGTTATTTGGCTTTGCCACTCTGAGGTAGACGACCTCTGCTGTGTTCTTCAGCGCACCCACCGCATCCTCATGCATCACGTCCTCCAAACACACATTATTCACCTGCAGTTGACATTAGATGCAGAGACTGACGTTATGGAGCAAGTGAAAAAGAAGTGCTCTTAAATGTTTCAAAGTGAACACTATATAGATTAACTAACTGCTTTTCTCTCAACCTGCCTGTAGTTCCACTTGTGACCAGCAAGTGGCAGCATTGAACAGCCAGTGACTATGTGATGAGTATTTAGTAAAACAAATGAAGAGTTCAGATGCAAAAGCCTCTAAATGCCATTTGAAATTTTCTTCTAGAATGATGATTTTTATCAAACTTGTATATTTAAGTTCACTAATTTCACTTAAATGGCAATGATAATTACCTATTAATTGCCATTTAAGTGAAATTACTGAACTTAAATATACAAGTTTGATAAAATCATCATTAATGAAGAAAATTTCAAATGGCATTTAGAGGCTTTTGCATCTGAACTCTTCAAATATTTCCCCACCCTCCGTTTTCAAAAATAACATCGTGCACACATCGTTTTCAAAAAAGTTGTCATTTACATCAACACACATTAATACACCGTTGACTACCATCATAACGCTGCGCTCACATGACGTTAAGCATTTTCTGGTGCATGTGACATTTGAGAACCGTTATACTACCAGTTGACACGACAGCACATAACTGTTGTTATCAGAAATCTCCACTTTGGCCAGAGTTTTTAGAAATAACCGTTTTCTCTGATAAAAACGGGGTTTTCGTGTAAATGAGAGGCCAAACCGATGGCAAATATCTGTGTCTTCCCTTCGTTTAAAGGAGTAGCTCACTTTTGAAAAAAACTTTTGCTGAAAATTTACTCACCCCCATGTCATCCAAGATGTCCATGTCTTTCTTTCTGCAGTCGAAAAGAAATTAAGGTTTTTGATAAAAACATTCCATATAATGGACTTCAATGGGGACCAAACGGTTCAAGGTCCAAAAGACAGTTTGGGCTTAAAATGATTCCAGACGATGAATAAGGGTCTTATCACGCGAAACGATCACTCATTTAATAAATAAATAACAAAGTTTAAGTTTTATAAGCTCAAATGCTCGCCTTGCTCTGTTCTCTGATAAGCGTTCATGACTCTCATGTTTGAACTCGTTCATCAAAATGAACTAATCTTTTTCCGAGTCATTTGGTTGATTCAATAACGAAACAAACAAATTGACTCGGAAAAAGATTCGTTCATTTTGATCTGGAATCATCTGGAATTGTTTAAAGCCTTTTGAACAGTTTGCAGTTTGCACTGAAACTCTCTTTTGGACCTTGAACCGTTTGGTCCCCATTGAAGTCCATTATATGGAGAAAATGCTGGAATGTTTTCATCAAAAACCTTAATTTCTTTTCGACTGAAGAAAGAAAGACATGGACATCTTGGATGACATGGGGGTGAATAAATAATCAGCAAAAGTTTTTTAAAAGTGAACTACTCTAAACAGGGCATCTATCTTATCACATGCGTATTAGTACTCATCAGTGATGCATCTGTGTCGCCTTACCGCCAGTATCTTATCCCCGATCTGTAGTCGTCCGTCCTTATGAGCCGCCCCTCCCTCGATGATCTTTGTGACATAAATGCTGTTGTCACCGGGGATGTGCTGGTTCCCGACACCACCCGCTATACTAAAGCCTAGCCCTGAGAGAGAAATGCAAGGTGCAAGAAAACTTTCAATTCATTTGTTAAAAAGATGAACATACACAGAACAACTTAATAATGGGTGATAATATTCTAAAATCCTAAATATTCTTTGTATTGCTAGCGCTTCTTGTGTTATTGCCTCATTAAAGGGATGCTTCACCTCTGGAAAGATGAATGTGTATTTGAAATGGGTCATTGATGTAGAATAAATGTGAAATTATTTTTGAATTTGGAGCTTTCTAGACTGAGAAAAGCCAGAAAATGTATTTTTGGCTTATGTGGATGAAAGACAACAACTCCCAGAATGCACTTGCTCCGCTGCCCTCAGAGGCCACGCCTACGGGTAACAGAGCGCAGTAGTTAAACAACAAGTCTAGGCTACTAGTGAGTCTCTGTGATGAGTCTGCCCGAAAATGTGTTTCCAGATCGCCCAAAATGTCCGGGATTGGGCGTTTGCGTTTTACAGTCGCCGTTCATCATGTTTACTGTGGCGAGCGGGACGAGTGAGGGCCGCGATGAGCGACACCTGTGAGACGCACCGGTCTCGTATCTCTCACGAATTTTCTTAGCAATGTTAAAACGCACATCAACCGATCACTTGTTTAGCGTTCATGTAAACACTACATTCAGATTCACCAATCGGAACGAATTCAGTTCGATTGAAACAAAAGCTGTGCATGTAAACAATGAATGGCGACTGCAGAAAGCAAAAGCTGAATCCCGGACATGGTAACCCCTACTACTCAGCTTTCTAGCCTGCTAGCTTAGCTTCCAAACAAAGATGGCCGACACTATGTGTTCATTCTGTGAGTGAGATCGCCCTCTATGGGCGGGTTGAGGACATGCGGGACATTTTTAAGTCTGCTAAATGAATATAAATATCACAAACCAAAGATACACTAACACAATGGTGGTACATCTTTAATACTCAAATACGTTTTATTGTCCATACCTTTTGGCCCTTTGATGAGCTTGAGTTCGGTGACTTTCTCAGCGATGGGTTTCCTGCGTAATACGTAGAGTCTGACGATAGCGCCCGCCTCTTTGAGGGCCTCCACTGCCTGACTGTGGGTCACCTCCCGGACATCAACGTCATTCACAAACAGAATACTGTCATTTACTCTGAGAGAGAGAGAGAGAGAAATGGGTAGAGGTAAGGAAAATAAATTATTAAGGCAGTTTTCCCATTAGAGCTCAGCTATAAATTAACCTCTGAACTGACAGCAGTCAAAAAAAGTCACAAAGCTTTTAAAGACAGCCCTAGTTTTGCACTCCGAGGTTGTTAATCAATGGGATTTACTTTTGGAACAACAGCTAAAAAAACAGTGTGGACACTCCATTACTTTTACTATTATAAAATTAAATATTATGTTATGAATTTTTTTCTTTCCATTTAGACATGATCTGGCAACTCCGGCATATAGAACAACTTCCAGGATCTTATGTGCAAATTATATTACGTGTAAATTGACTGTGTAGAGAGATTTTATTCCTTACAGAAGACACAACCATCTGGCAAATACACAGAGTGTTTACACAGACGTACTAAAAACCGCACTCTGAGGCAACAGAAATGTAAAAAATTGTCTGAAATTTGGCCATTTAGAGATTATGGACATCAGGCGAGAGCAGCTCCAGAATCATATAACAGACTTCTCCACGTATAAACAAGTTCTGTTTTCAACTGGTTTAAGAATATTTTGTCTTTCTGCTGAAAACTGAAAACTTTTTCAGAGGCTGAAAATGTTTAATAGAATAAGTGTATTTTGATATTTCTTTTATTTTGAAGTTTTGTATTATCTTCGGCTGCATTTACCCAGCAGGTCTTGATGCTCAGAATACATCCTTTTTTTTTTGGACGACTAGTTTACATCTTTTAAAAGTGACCCATATCAGATATCTGCATTTACACTATACACTTTGAAAGGTAGACTAACTGATCTGGAAAAGCTAAGGCATGAAAGAAAGTAAAAACGGAGCGATTCACAATGGACAGATGCAGGGACGTGCACAGGGGGGTTGCTCAGGTTGCCCGGGCAACTGCCCATATGCCCTTCTCGACTCAGGTTGCCCTTCCGAGGAAAAAAAAAAATCGTACAATGGATGTAGAATTTCACGTAGGCCTAGACAAAAAAAAATAATATAAAAATCGCAAAGCCTCATTCACTTCCATTCGGGCACTGAAAGGGAAAGTCAAACTGTTTACGTGGCTGCAGTGCTGCACACGACCATAGACTGCACGCGACCGGTGTGTATGGTAAGGCACCGCAAATTACTCAGGCCGCGCCTCCATCTCGTGTCGCGCGCTAATTAATGTGTACGAAGTCCATGACAAAATGAAGCGAAACTATCGTTCTCGTCACGAAAAGAGGAAGAAGAAAAACATGAGAGTGAATTGAGGGAACAGCAGTCAGGTAAACTTGTGTTCTGTCCTCTCTAGTGTCAGCAAAGTTTGATGGTTTGGGCAGGCAGTGCATCTCTTGCATCACTTTTTGCCCGACAAAAGTGAGAGTAAAATACCATTATTTATTACGTTTTGTTTTTTATAAACGACAAAGTGCAACAACAGTGTTTGTTTACTGCAGCTCGGAAAACATAACCGCGTCGCGTGTGTTGCGTTCATATGCGCGTGCACGAAATGAAACTCGCATTTTTCAAGCAGAAATGTGGAGACCAGAAATACTGTACAATACGTGAATGATGGCACTCCCAATCAAAGTACACATTATAAAGACACTGATTATCTAGTCTCAGTGTAGTTAAAAACTCTAAACAACTGCACTAATTATGCAAGATAGAAACCAATGTATTGGCAATTGACATTGATTGACTATTATTTATAGGCTATATTGAATTTAAAATGATGATTAGCTGGACATTCTGGTCCATATGAATGCAAATCCCTCAGTAAATAACAAAAAAAATCAAGATTTGCTTCAACATGCATAAAAAAATAAATAAATAAAAATCATAGGCTACTGATTCCAAAAAATACCCTGGCTGTAGAGAGAATCAAAATTAATCCCAAAAGCCAAAGTTCAGGGTTGTACTTTATTATTTTCTTCTTATTTATGTTTACGTTAATATTCACTTGTTATCTTAACATTCTATAAAAATGCTTTATTCAGTAAATATTGTTTGTTTGAACCTCATTCTGTTCTATATTGTTGTACTTATTCTTTGACTGTTTTGTTTAAAGGAGGGAGGATTGTTATTGGGTGGTATTGAGTGGCAATGGCAAATGGTTTACATGGCTCACGGCATCACAGATCAGGTAGAGGGCCCCATAGCAGAATTTTGCTTAGGGCCCCAGGGGGAGGTCAGGATTGGCAAAAAAGGATTGTATTTTTTCCCGAAATATAAGCGTTTTTTATTTTTTCGAGTTTTTCCATTCAATCCAGATTATTTCTTTTCAAATAAATAAATAAATAATAATAATAAAAAAACAACAATAAACAACAATATGAGGAACTCTTTTGCTCATTTGTCACATCTCTGACATTTTGCAATCTTTAAAAAAAATAATAAGACCATAAGATGAGGCATTGCGTTTGGACATAAACACGGCCAGATAAGGCAATTTGGAAGGTGACAAATTCAACTGAATATATTCCTTCATATAGCCCGTGAGGAGGGGGGGTGCCCTTTTTTCAGGTCAGAGCAACTGCCCCTCAAAATTCCTGTGCACGTCCCTGGACAGATGAAATAAAAATACATGATATCATCTTTAAAGGTCAGCCAAACCCTGGGTTAAGCATTGAAAAGAGTCATGTTATCACGGTTGGTGTCCATTACACAAAACAATTGAAAATGTTATCTTGAAACTTAAGTGCAATCTATTAAATGCAATGTACAAATCATTAATATCAATATCATTAACCATATAAAGCCTATTGTATCATATTTATTATTAAAAAATTAAAATTAAATTAAAATTGATCAACACGATAAACTTTGCTGAAAAACCTGTTGTACACAATCTGGTGTATTTGCCTTCAGTCGTTTGGGTTGTTTCAACCAAAATTTGGGTCAAATATAGACAAACCCAAATGTTGGGTTAAAAATGTATTTTAAAATTTGAACCCAACTTCAACTTTTAATTTCAACTGTAAATTTTTAAAATCCATTTTTAACCCAACATTTGGGTTTATCCATATTTTACCCAAATTTGGGTTGAAACAATCCAGCATTTTTTAGAGTGTATAAGCATAATTTATAGACATTTACTGGGCTGAGGAAACTTAGCTTTACTTTAATTATCCAGAAATTATATATTTTTTAAAAATCATCAGTATCAAGTATGATGCATCAGAAGTTTATTTGTTGATCTCTCAATCATTGTATTGCATATTGGCCTTATATCAGCATCTGCACCAAATTGCATATTTTGGGCTTATGAAAAATACAGCTGTTTTTTCTTCAAGTATGAGCTTCATATTCTCAATATATCAAAAGCAAACAAACATGCAAACTTTAAAAAATATATTTTGTATAAAAGGTTCAATAAACTGGAATCATGTTTATGACATTAGAGGTAACTAAAGTACAGTCAACACCATCTGACAAAAGACATTTCACTGAAACGGGCAACTCGACAAAACACGACAGATATTCCTTAGCTTTCAGAAGTGCAAATGCAGCACTAGCTGTGCTGTCATCCAGAAACATGAAGAGAGAGAGAGGGAATGAGTGCCGTCGGGATGACTGACTGTCAGTAGAAATATCTGCCCAATATATATTCATAATTAAGCACACATTAACACTGACCACCAAGTAAGATGGTAGAAAAACAGAATAGATGCTTCATTTTTCCTCCTGTCAGTTTTGTCAGGACAACAACAGCATCTCCACTACTGAGCCACGTAAGGTCACGGCATCTCCAAGAAACAATGCTGAATGCAAATGCAACTTCACTTTAGGTTTGATAGGTTCAATATGCAAATAGGCTTTTAAAAGGGAAGAGAACATGCTTTTTGTTGATGACAAGTATAATCAAATGCTGTGGTATTTTGACCCAATTAAACAGACACTGACCGAGACCTTAAAAACTACTCTAGTGACCAAGAGCTCCACACATTACTATGCATCACCTCTTGATACTCAAAAACTCCAAACTGAATGTCAGAATGGGAAAGAAAGGTGATTTAAGCAATTTTGAGCGTGGCATGGTTGTTGGTGTCTGAGTGTTTCACAATCTGCTCAGTTACTGGGATTTTCACACACAACCATTTCTAGGGTTTACAAAGAATGGTGTGAAAAGGGAAAAACATCCAGTATGCGGCAGTCCTGTGGGCCAAAATGCCTTGTTGATGCGAGAGGTCAGAGGAGAATGGGCCGACTGATTCAAGCTGATAGAAGAGACACTTTGACTGAAATAACCACTCGTTACAACGAGGTATGCAGAAAAGCATTTGTGAAGCCACAACACGCACAACCTTGAGGCGGATGGGCTACAACAGCAGAAGACCCCACCGGGTACCACTCATCTCCACTACAAATAGGAAAAAGAGGCGACAATTTGCAAGAGCTCACCAAAATTGAAGAAAACGTTGCCTGGTCTGATGAGTCTCGATTTCTGTCGACATTCAGATGGTAGAGTCAGAATTTGGCGTAAACAGAATGAGAACATGGATCCATCATGCCTTGTTTCCACTGTGCAGGCTGGTGGTGGTGGTGTAATGGTGTGGGGGATGTTTTCTTGGCACACTTTAGGCCCATTAGTGCCAATTGGGCATCGTTTAAATGCCACGGCCTACCTGAGCATTGTTTCTGACCATGTCCATCCCTTTATGGCCACCATGTCCCCATCCTCTGATGGCTACTTCCAGCAGGATAATGCACCATGTCACAAAGCTCGAATCATATCAAATTGGTTTCTTGAACATGACAATGAGTTGACTGTACTAAAATGGCCCCCACAGTCACCAGATCTCAACCCAATAGAGCATCTTTGGGATGTGGTGGAACTGGATGTGCATCCCACAAATCTCCATCAACTGCAAGATGCTATCCTATCAATACGGGCCAACATTTCTAAAGAATGTTTTCAGCACCTTGTTGAATCAATGCCACAGAGAATTAAAGTAGTTCTGAAGGTGAAAGGGGGTCGAACACAGTATTAGTATGATGTTCCTAATAATCCTTTAGGTGAGTGTACATGCATTAGTGTATGAAGTCATTTGCTCCGGGTGCAAAATACGACCCAGCGTGTTCTCATTCAACTGTAAAATTACACAGTGGAAAAAAATGTTCCTGTCTTTCCAAACTACAGTCCGTTTGCTCCCAGCACATCAGCAATGAACCCGCCGGTCCGCCGAGGACAGGAGAGGACAGCATTAAACAGCTGACAGTCCATCAGGTTTGACAGTGTGTGTTTGCCTCAAGCTGTGTGGTTCATAGTTCTCTCATCATGAACTAACCAACCAGATACAAACCCGTATGACTGTAATGAACAGACCAAAACCAGTCTGTTAACCCATCATTCACACGGCAGGGTGAGGAAACAATGACTGAATTTTCATTTGTAGGGTGAACTTTAAGAAAGTGTTATATCTATAGAGTTATTACTCTCAAACTGCTATTTCTGTCTATCTCTTCTCGTTCTCGCTTGTGTGCTTTTTCTGTCTGCTTAATTTCTCCTGCGGTGTGAGTGAATTTGTGTGTGTGTGTGGATGTGCTGCCATGCTCTGGGGTAAAACTGCATTTGTTAGCAGGAACCCCAGCTGGTCCCATTAACAATGCATCACAAGTACATCCACAGAGATATTTAACTGCGAGTATATTAATATGAATGTGAGCATGTCTATATACACATAAATTTCAGGGACACATTAGTGTCTCACAGTGGAGTTGAACCCGGGTCTCTCACACCAAAGGCATGTGTCTTATCCACTGCGCCATCACCACCCCCCATAAATATGGATGTCATTGTGTTAGATAAGAAAATATGAAACTAAATGCTATTATAGATAGATAGATAGATAGATAGATAGATAGATAGATAGATAGATAGATAGATAGATAGATAGATAGAGCAATAGATAGATAGATAGATAGATAGATGGATAGATAGATAGATAGATAGATAGATAGATAGATAGATAGATAGATAGATAGATAGATAGATAGATAGATAGATAGATAGATAGATAGATAGATAGATAGATAGATAGATAGATAGATAGATAGATAGATAGATAGATAGATAGATAGATCAACCGATAGATAGATAGATAGATAGATAGATAAATAGATAGATAGATAGATAGATAGATAGATAGATAGATAGATAGATGGATGGATGGATGGATGGATAGATGGATGGATGGATGGATGGATGGATGGATGGATGAATGGATGGATGGATGGATGGATGGATGGATGGATAGATAGGTTGGTAGATAGATAGATAGATAGATAGATAGATAGATAGATAGATAGATAGATAGATAGATAGATAGATAGATAGATAGATAGATAGATAGAACAAGATAGAATGATAGATAGGTAGGTAGTAGATAGATAGATAGATAGATAGATAGATAGATAGATAGATAGATAGATAGATAGATAGATAGATAGATAGATAGAACGATAGATAGATAGATAGATAGATAGATAGATAGATAGATAGATAGATAGATAGATAGATAGATAGAAGATAGATAGATAGAACGATAGATAGATAGATAGATAGATAGATAGATAGATAGATAGATAGATAGATAGATAGATAGATAGATAGAACGATAGATAGATAGAACGATAGATAGATAGATAGATAGATAGATAGATAGATAGATAGATAGATAGATAGATAGATAGATAGATAGATAGATAGATAGATAGATAGATAGATAGAAAAAATTATGATAGACAAATTATATTCCGCAGCTCTAAAAAGAAATTGATTAATCAGTCAATTACCTATTGCAATGTCATTCACATTCATGTGTAAATGTGATTTAAGCATATAAAACCTGTGTATGTAAACTACATCCAGTATATGTGTGTTACCTGAGTCTCCCGTCTTGTGCAGCGGCTCCTCCAGGAATGATCTTGGTGATGAAGATGCTGGGATCGTCTCCTACATGAGGATTATCAGTCCCTCCAGCGATACTGAAGCCTAGCCCAGAGTTCCCCTGCGCACACACACACACACACACACACACACACGACTGGGTCATTATACAAACAGAGACATTTGTGTCCCTCATTTATGTATACACTGAAGCTCTGACAACATATATCACATGAATTAATTTAGCTTTAGATGTCAAAGGCAATTTATTAACACTAAAACATGTTATTTACTTGATAGAATCACTTTAGAAAACGGTACACAAGTACAGAAGACTCGGTGTGAACTGAATGGAATGTTTTCAGACACTTAATTGCAATTAAATGGCAATGTATTATGCATATTAAATGCATTTAGCAAACTTTAGAGTGCATCTTTAAAGAACATCTTTATGTTTAATTTCATAATTTCTTCTATTGACTTTGAAGTATGGTTAAAGTGTACCGGTGAGTGTACTGACAATCATTTACGGTAAACTACTGTCATTTCTATTGAAACTCTACTGTATGTCATGCATTCAAATATATTTGTAATTCTTCACATTTGTAATGGTGAAAGTACAATTTAGAAGATTTAAAATATATTAACGTAATATCAAATAACACTACAGTTAGAGTTATAATCAAGATCTTTACAAATGAAGAGTTCAGATGCAAAAGCCTCTAAATGCCATTTGAAATTTTCTTCTTTAATGATGATTTTTATCAAACTTGTATATTTAAGTGAAATTACTGAACTTAAATATACAAGTTTGATAAAAATCATCATTAAAGAAGAAAATTTCAAATGGCATTTAGAGGCTTTTGCGTCTGAACTCTTCAAATGCTTTAGTATGTTAGTCAACACATCAAAATAAGTGTACTTCTATAAAGCAAGACAACAGATTATTAAAACATAATGTACTTTAGCGTAAAACATTTAATTTGAAATCATTGCAAATTGCACTTTTTAAAAGTGTACTTAAGTGTGCTCTCCTGAAGAAGCCTTTTATTTCATTAATATTATATTATCTGCAAGTGCAGCTCTTTTTTAATATCCTTTTAAAGTTTGAAGTGCACATTCAATACTTATTTTTCACAAGGAATATTTAAAATGTTACTTACAAACCTTACAAAATAAACACTTCATAATACTTCATGGTAAAATGGAAAGGTTGGTGTGACCTATGTTAAATAATCAAACTGTAATACAGGACTGTACATGCTTGTAAGATTACCCTTTCCAGCGTAATCTCTTCATATTCAATCTCTCCTTCTGCTCCGTTTACCTACAAAACACACACACAGTCCTTTAAAACAAGATTAAGACACGTATACAGTAACAGGAATGCAAATATATGTAATATGAATGGGAAGCAACCTCAAAAAATACACTTCCAAAATCCAATCATCAATAAAACAGTCATTGTATCATAAATGTTTTCTTCTTTAGCTCAAATCACACTGTATTTCTCAGCTAATGTGTAGTTACAGCTACAGAACTTCAATTTCTACAGTTTCTATATTGAGTATTTTGGTTATTATTGAGTATTGCTCAGGTGTTGTGGGTGGTTTTTTGGGCGTTACAGGTCTCAGGCATCCTTATATATCTGCACAGCAAATTATTTCTAGGGATAAAGACTAAAATATGCATTTTCTGCATAATACTTACATAAGGTGAGCCGTCCAGTGTGTCTGTATTCACCACTACTGGTGGAGAGTTCGCCTGAAGAGAGAGAGAGAGAGAGAGAGAGATTAGCACAGAGCTCATGGCTATGTTTGGGAATATACTACGGTACTACTTGAACTACTTTTGCAGGATGTAGTAAGTACGGTGCACAGTCACATTATCTGTATGCTGGAGATACCTTGATGAGCTGCTGTACTACAGTTCAAACGTTTGGGAATAAAACAGCCCCTCCTCATTTGCATAATGAGGCAGAAATGCATACAGAAATGTAAAAACGACAGGCAGAAATAGCATTGAAGAAATAAATAGGGTAAAAAATACAAAGGAAGAATAAAACAGACAAAACTATTATAACATGCACACAAATAAATGCAAAAAAAAAATGAATAAATAAAGTTGAAGATTATAACGGACAATAAATAAATAAGGCAATTATTACAAAGATGAATAAATAAAGAAGCTAATTAAGAGATATACACTCTCAGAAAAAAAAGGTACAAAAGCTGTCACTGTGGCTGTAAAAGGTAAACTTTTGTCCATTTCAGGTGCTAATATGTACATTTTAGGTGCTAATATGTACATTTTAGGACTAATATGTACATTTCAGGTGCTAATATGTACATTTTAGGTGTTAATATGTATATTTTAGGACTAATATGTACATTTTAGGACTAATATGTACATTTCAGGTGCTAATATGTACATGGTAGGTGCTAATATGTGCATTTTAGGCCTAATATGTACATTTCAGGTGCTAATATGTACATTTAGGTGCTAATATGTACATTTCAGGTGCTAATATGAACATTTCAGGTGCTAATATGTACATTTTAGTTGTTAATATGTACATTTTATGTGCTAATATGTACATTTCAGGTGATAATATGTACATTTTAGGTGTTAATATGTACATTTTAGGTACTAATATGTACATTTTAGGTGTTAATATGTACATTTCAGGTGCTAATATGAACATTTCAGGTGTTAATATGTACATTTTAGGTACTAATATGTACATTTTAGGTGTCAATATGTACATTTCAGGTGCTAATATGAGCATTTTAGGTGCTAATATGTACATTTTAGGTGTTAATATGTACATTTCAGGTGCTAATATGTACATTTCAGGTACTAATATGTACATTTTAGGTGCTAATACATTCATGTCTCACTGTATAAATTAATTTCTACATACATTTATTTGTTTATTGTATTTTTTGGGGGCAATTAATTATTTATTGAGCATTTATTTATTTCTGTATTTATTTATGGTAGAGCTGGTCCTCCATACACATGATCCTTCAGGAATCACTCTAATAACCTGATTTGCTGCTCAATAAAAATGTCTAATTATTATCAAACAGTGAGGAAACCTGTAAACATCTTTTTTCAGGATTCTTTGAAATATTTGAAGCAGAAATCTTTTATGGCATTATAAATGTCTTTGCCATCACTTTTCACCAATTAAATCCATCCCGAATAAAACTATTAATTTCTTTTCACATAAAAGAAAAAAACCGTACTGACCCAAAACTTTCACATTTTTATCTCCTAGATACTCACACACACACACACACACACACACACACACAACATCCATGATTTGCCCGATTCTGAACACGGGTCTTTCCACTGAAACAATGTACTAGCAAACAGCACATATATTTCCTGATACACACTAACCTCTCTTACAACTCTCACACACTACAAGCAATTTACAGCTGTAACATCTGCTAGCACCTCTATTGCTTTCCAATAAATGTGATTACTCACACACTCACACACACAGTTATGCCTTCCAGCTCTGTTCCAAACTACTGGCTTTTATTACAGAGCGCAGCAGCCGCCCACATGATCACATTAACACACACTCAACTACACACGCTGACAGAAACTCATTCAAGTGTTCAGTGCCCCACGGCTCAGATTGCCAGTGGATCTCAGAGACATGAACGTTTCCATGCAGCCACAGGGAGGAGTGTGTGAGTGAGTGTGTGCTGCGGGCGAGACTGTTCTGACCCTGAACAAATAACATGGAAACGACACAAACGTTTTATGGCTGTCCAATCTAATACACATATACATCTTTTGTATATTAGGCTACTTCTAAAAGGCGAGTGTGTGAAAAAGAAGTGTGCTTAATTGCATTTCAATTTAAGCTTTTAGTGTTTTTCAAAACTGTACTTGCAGATAAAATAATAAGGAAATGATAGGTCACTGTCACAGCTGTTTATGTTTGCGTTGTGCCTTATTTCCTGCGCTTCGCATTGACTGTTAGTTGCTATGGTTACTGATTGATTTGGTTCACCTGTTTCTCATCTAGATTCCTTAGCTTGTAGCCTATATATATATATATATTAGAGCCAGACCGATATATCGGCAGACCGATATATCGGCAGATATTGGGCATTTTCCAAACTATCGGTATCGGCAGTTATAATGGCCGATAAATGTATATTTCAAAAATAAAATAAAAACGGACGAAACACGCTTGAACCATGTCTGTATAGTTTGTCCACCAGAGGGCACTCTACACCGTTCCTGTTGGCAACACTCGTTGAGTTGTTCACGATACATACATTGCTTGAATAAAAATTAAAAGAACATCCCCATCAGTTCTCTTAACTCAAATAAGCATGACAAAATTTGTGACTAATCATCTCCAGTTTAAAAAATAAATAAATAAATAAAATATCAGCCGATATATCGGAATATCGGATTTTAAAACCCAAAATATTTGTATCATATTGGCATTTAAAATCCTTTATCGGTCGGGCTCTACTATATATATACTGTGCTTCAGTTTCTCATGGTCATGTTCTCGTTCACGTTTCTGCTGGTTAGCTTTTCTCCTGTGATTTCGTGTTTTAATTTTGTAAATAAAGACTGACTATATAGTTTCTGGAATTTTCCCTTCATCTTCATCATCATGCTTGTTTGCAACCACAGCTTAAGACAGTCTGTCACGTATGTGTACTTATAATATTTTTTAATATTTTGTTGTGCTTTAAAGAAGTACTTATTCTGATGTGTTGACTAACATACTAAAGCACAAGTATTTAATCATCAATCCCACGAAGCATTGAGAACTGCATTTACGAGTCATTAAATCATGTTTAATTCGGACTTTGAGGTGTTGACCATAGACCTCTATTATATGACTGACAGACAAGAACGGTTTGACCTAAAAATAGCAAAATTGAAACTACTGCGGAAACAAAGACACCTACATCTTGGATGCCCTTGAGGTAAGATAAAACATATCAAAAATTAATTTCAAAGTGAACTATCCCTTTAAGTGTCCGTAAACATTACATTCAGTTTACACTATATTATTCCCTTAAAAAGTATTTAGGCACTATTAAGCATAAAAGTACTGTATACTATGGTAAAGTGCACTTCTTTTTTATAAAGGCAGGTATTTTAAAACTTCTCGAAACTAATGAATGAGCCAAACTGTTTTAGGCAAATAAACACTACGTTGCAAATAATAATATATTCTGAATATTCTGAAGCTATATTGAATGGTGGCGTGTGGGTGGTAAGAACGCAGCACACCTCTCTGGATTTCTCTGCACCTTATTCCTCTTCATCTTCCTCTCAGCTCTCCCTTGTTCTTTCGGGGGTTTGTGGTGATATGTTGTGCTGCAGTCGTCTGTTTATTAGCATGAGAAGATGCTCTGTAGCTAAAGCATGAAATCTGCCTCCTACTCTCACACCATTACGTCTCTCCTCCTCCTTTCATTTCTCTTTTCCTGTCTGTTACAAACTGACAACAATACAACACAATGAAATATTATTGGCATTTTTCAAAAGACTCGCGAGTAAGCTACGGAAAGGCTGCGTGTTACCGTGATCTACCAATAGAGCCAGACCGATATATCGGCAGACCGATATTAGGCATCGGTATCGGCAGTTATAATGGCCGATAAATGAATATTTCAAAAATAAAATAAAAATGGACGAAAAACGCTTGAACCATGTCATGAGTGTTGGAGTTGTATAGTTTGTCCACCAGAGGGCACTCTACACCGTTCCTGTTGGCAACACTCGTTGAGTTGGTCATGATACATACATTGCTTGAATAACAATTAAAAGAACATCCCCATCAGTTCTCTTAACTCAAATAAGCATGACAAAATTTGTGACTATCATGTCCAGTTTAAAAAATAAACAAATAAATAAATAAAATATCGGCCGATATATCGGAATATCGGATTTTAAAACCCAAAATATTTGTATCGGTATCGGCCTTCAAAATCCTTTATCGGTCGGGCTCTACTTACCATGTCCGGGGTGTTATTGGGCATGATTATAATATTAATGTATTATTAATGAGTGGATATGAAGGATTCTGCCAGCTGCTAATATTAGGATGTGTCGAACAGAATAGGGTCATATGTGTGCGTTTATAGTCAATTTACAGTTGCTTTGCGATTGGCTAATCCAATTTGACTATTGCTTTAATTATAATATTTTAGTTAATTTATGTCTCTGCTAACACTTTATTTTACTGTGTCCTTGCATGTACTAACTGTAGTAATAACAGTAAATTATGCATAATTACATGCAACTAGCTCAAATCCTAATGTTCTATAATTATTATTACTCAGTATGTAAATGTATAATTAAAACAAAGTGTAACCACATTTATTCCATCTGATCTTATTAGCGGAGACGACTACAAGTAAATAACTTGTGTTTAATGTATATCCCACAATGCAATTGGCTCACAATGACCTTTCATTTTCAGGATTTAATATCAGTCACGATTTTAAACCTTATTAAATTAACAAAACTGGCAAAGTAATTGGATCACATGACAACAATGTAGGAAACTGTGTTTGTATTGTTATCTGCTACACTCCAAAAGTTTGGGTTCAGTACATTTTTTTTGTTTTAGCATGGAAGCATTAAATCAATAAAAAATGGTTTTACACAAAAATATTTTCTGTTTTCAACATTGATAATAATCAAGTTTAATGATTTCTGAAGGAAACTTCTGAAGACTGGAGTAATGACGCTGAAGATTACAG